CCTCACTTCCGCTATAAATTCCCTCTCTTCGCTCGTTCACCTACACCCTTTAAACTACTCTTCTTCCATCTCTTCTTTTTTTTATTTCTCAGTTTTCTTTGCTTTGTTTTGGACCACTAGGTTTGTTTCTGAAGCTTTAGGGTTTTATTATAAAAATGGCGGTGAGAGGAAAAGGGAAAACATGGCCCTCTTTGTATTTTTCCACAGCTTTCTTGAACTGCAACTTCGTCTTAGATCGTTCGTTGTTGTTGCTTGTGGTGCATATGGACGGTATACGGGTATGTGGTTGCGGTTCAATAAAGCTGTGGGAAGATACGGACAGGGTCAAAGGGAAAACTTTCATGATCAATCGCTTCAGGGACTTGAAAATGCTACTTTGGGTGCTTGATTTTTTTTTTTTATTTTGATCTAATTATTCATTTTGTTTGTTTGTTTGTTTTGTCTGTCTGATCCATATGCAAGGAGTTTTTTGATGCACTGATATAAGTTTTTCTTTGACATGATTGACTATGAATGGAAGATATATATTAGATTATTGGTCAATAATTTCCATGGTTCTTTGCTTTGATGAAGATTTTTCTTAACCCTAAACGTTTTATTTTTGTTCTTTATATGATGTAGAGAGATGTCCAAGCTTGAATTGCCTTACTCTTTAACTTTTATTCCATGATAATTTTCTGTATCTGTTCTTTCTTTTTCATGATCGAGAGAAAAATTATTCAAAGGGGCAACTTGTTTTCTTCCATTGCAATTCTGATGCTAGCTGCTTCTTCATACATCAAAGAAAATTAAAAGGCTACTCCTAATTTGCAGTAACACCGTAAAGAAGAGAGAAAGAGAATGAGAACTGTTGTTTTGGTACTTGGAATTTTCTATCGGTATCGATTCGCGTCTTTGCTGAATATTCTCACAGTTTTTTTTTCGGATCTTTTTATCTTAATTGTTTTGACTTTGTTTTATTGTAGTGAAGTGTGCGGTGTGCCCCCATGTGTAGGTTTCACACTGCTGGACTTGAGGTTCAAACAGCTCTTGACTTGATATTTGTAGATAAAAGTTGCAACAAAATATCAGCTGATCGATCTGCAGTTATACTTCCATTGATAAATATTAACTTCAGTCATTTTTATACATTTCCAAACCCACCCAAAGATTCCATTGCAGTCGATTTTTCTTTTTTTGTGAGTGACTATCACTGCACTCTCATAAATTCGAATATATGCTTTTTAATCTGTTTATAGGGCACAATTATTCTGCTTTTGACTGCTTAAAACATACTATATAGTCAAGAAAATTTTTAAATATAATAGGGGTTACTACTGAATTAAGGCGCATTCAAGTTCCAGTTACATTGAGTGTTATAGATGGACCCCTGCAATTAGGCTTTAGCCTAGCCTTCCTCGTTAAAGTTCATCCAATAGGATTTGAATGTGAAGTTGTTAGGTGAATGAAGCTTTTATCAAAAGAGAATCTGTATAACATGAGAAACCTGGATGGGTCAAGTTAGGTCTACTTTCCCAATTCTGATTTTGCTAATAAGATTAGGGTTTTTTCTTTTTCTTTATATATATACATAATATTTTTCAACAATGCCCAAGTACAAATTAGCTGCAAGAAAAGGGCTTCTATTTTATCCCAAAAACATGTTGTCTTGTCCAGATACTATGGGGGATGTTTCAGAATCAGATCTGAATATTCTTCCCTTCGTCTAAGGTATAAGAAACAATGAACTGATGAAGCTTTTTTTTCTTTTTTCAATAGGCAATTAAATCTACCATAGACAAACTAGATATTTAGATTTTTTTTTTTAATGCAGGGATAGATTTTTGGACTAATTTTTACAGCCACAAAAGAAATCCGATAAGAAAGTACAATCTTCATTCTAACAAACTAGAAGTTACTGGCTTCAATATATATAATATATATACACTTAGCTGTATTCGAAGATGTTCACGAGAAAATTGAAGTCATCCAGTTAAGAGACCAACTCTTTTGTTCGTTTATTGAGGTTACACAGATCTGATAGAGCAACTTTAATTATATGATGGATACATGCGTATCATGTCTTAATGCTGCAAGCCAACTAATCTAGCTCATATTTTAATCATTTCTCCTTTTGTTTGGTGTATGTAAGATGTTTTGAATAACATTAGTTTATGATTGATGGAACATGGATTATTGCTTTGCTCCTATGACATTAGTTTATGACTGTTAACTGACAGTTTAATCTGTATTATTGATCAGGTCAAAATGGAAGGATTTGTTTGTCCGATTTAATTTGTATATAGATTTTTATAGCTTTTTGGGTTTACGAAGGAAAGATGGATCAGAGATGATAAAAAGCTGGGATTGCCTTGTGTTTTGTGAATGTCTACTTGAATCTCGGTAACCTTAAGAGCTAGTACTGTAACTGCTGCAACATTTTGTCTTATTGCTTGTATTATTTGTTGTAATGCAGTAATAATAATAATAATCTTCTTAAGTCCTTTCAGGGCCCTTTCCATCTCTTTCTCTTTAAAGAACAACACTGACAAGGTGATACTAATTTACTAGTATATTTTCATCATTTGACAAATTTAAGTATATAGGAGGAGTATATGTCTTGCATTACTGTCTAGAATGTCAATAGATTAAAGTATTCTTAAATCTTATGAATTAATTTCCTTTACTCTCCCTTGGCATTATGTGCAAGTTCGATACATAGTGCTCTTGCACATGACATGCAAAAAGTTATACATTTTCTTGGACAATGCTGGTATGTATGTAAGTGTGTGTGTGTGTATGTCTATATATATATACTGTCTATATATATATTTCTTGCATGTTTTGCTGTTACATTTGTACTCAGGCAAGTTAGGCTGGTTTAATTTGTTGTCAAAAGTGAAACGGGTTAGTGAATTCTGCTGAGAAACTATTGACTAATTTTGTTAACACTTCCACATGTTTGTTTACTGATCGTCCCCTCATTTGAAAATTTGATGAGGGTGTGATAACACTTCTACAATTTGTTCACTATCCCTTCTGTTTTTTAGAAAAATAAATAAAAAAGATGATCAATGTAAAGATTATTCCAGCTCTTTAGTTCGCTCTTAATTATGTGAAAAAACTTATTAAAGTTCTATACTTGATCATGTTTTGCGCCAAGGAACAGGATTGGAGGCTTAGAGATACTGTCATGATATGGTTCACTTTGGGTTGTACAAGAATTTCCTTTCATCTTGATGGTCAACAAAGTTGCCATTTATCGTTGGTGGCGCACTTTAACATCAGATAAAAGGGCAGGCCCCTCCCTCATGCGGTTTCACTCGGTGTCCTATTTGGTCCATTGAATGGTTTGAACAAAGAGTTATAGCTCAAAAGCGACGTGACCGAACAATTTTCCCCAACACATGGGGGCGAAATTATTGCTTCCCTTTGCTTTGCCTTGCCATTTCCCTTTCAGTTTGTCCATGGCTGATGGCTCTCCCCCAAAGTTTCAAATTTTCAGCTCTAATATTTATCTCACTCGTTTTTCCCTTTCACAGGCTCCAGTTGTGTAGAATATAGATATCATTATTTATATTTTCATGTAATTCTCTCAACTTAAGTAAAAAATCCAGAGAGCTTGTATGAATTCAACAAGAACATGATCTTAGTGAAGCATCTGAGTGAGACTCCATCTTTATTCAAATGTGTTAATAAAAAATGGACGGTTCCTACTTCCCAAGTTCCTCCTCTCTCTCCCTCCCCCACAAAATCTCAGTTGTTGATTCAGTACATGCCATGTTTGCTCATATAGAATAGTTTGAAAGGGAGAAAAAATAATAAAGTTTAAAAGAATTTTCTATTGTTGCTTTTTTTAATACTAATAATCATGTTGGAAAAGGGTATAATTTGCCACCACTCTTTGCCACTTTAAACCAAAAAAAAAAAAAAAAAAGACCAAAAAGCTTCAACTTATATTTATAATAATGGGATATTCCACCCACAAATGCATACACACGCAGGGAGGTCAAAATTAGAAATAATTCTAACTCGTTTACTGATCCTATCTAAATTAGCTGTTTCATTTCTCCCATTTCAACAATTTGCATATGTAAATTGATCTGCAGTTACCGGCTTAGATTGATTTCATCTGAATATACATTCAAATTTGAAGGCAATTAGCATCATCTCCATGACAAGTTATTAAATTCTCTCTTACAAGTTGATCAGATGAGAGCCCCCTGCACTTCAAAAAAGTTATAAAATCTGTGTTTAATTATAAAAGCAACAATGTAAGTATGTAATTACAGCTTGAATTGGTATATTGCCGATGAATAAAAGTTTCTGAATTATTTTCATCTTTTCCCCATGCTTTTTCAATAATTGAATTCACTATGATAAAAAAAAAGCCTGCAATACATGAAATCTGGATAAAATACCAGGGGTCTAATATTAGCAAAATTATATTTACTACTGTTATATAGTGTAACATTATTATTAATAATTCTTTTCTACTGAGTGCAGATTACAGAACCTGCCATGACCCTTTGTCTGGCCTGTTAGATGCTTGTTTCTTTGGTGGACCTTCCTATCTATCTACCCGTAGCAATAGCATTCCATTGGCTAAACATTCAAAATGATGTATGTTCCAAGGCTTTCTTTGTATTAGGGAAAGATTCCCCATCACCTCTTATCTCTCTCTCTCTCTAATGGTCCCTTGTCCCATCTCCCATCTTGATTACACCTTAATTATAGCCTTTTTCTTTTGGGCTTGTGTATTAGGTGAGATTCTTCTCACCCTTTTTTAACTTCCCTGACTTCAATTATAGATCACTGCTTTTTTTTTTAAATCTGCTAGAGGCCTAAAGGATATATAAATATATAGCTCTAAAAAAATTCTAAAGCAAATTAATTTTTTTTATATATTTGTGATTATAATAGATTAACAATTGGTCAATGAAACTAAAAGTTCAGCACTATCAAGGGATTATATGACAGTTGGAACTATTGCATGGGATTGGTGTAACTGAAGTAAGCATATTTTATACATGTACCACTCATATTCTTGCAACTTGCTACAACATAATTGGATGAAATCTAGAAAATCCAAAAAGAAACAGAAGAGGAAAAAAAGGGAAAAGCCAAAAAAAAAAGTAGTTGGGAATAAGAGGTAGATAAACTTTATGTTATTGGCTGTTCTTCTGCTGTCCACCAATGCTGTTTCCTCTCGTATTCACCTTCTTCTGTCCTCGACTTGGTCTACCCTCATCCATATATACCCATAACTTGTCAAAAAAAAAAAAACCATACTATCTAGCCTAATTGCTCCGTTAATTCAACAATTTTTACTGGTGACTGATCTATCAAGTATATGAAATTTTTAATTCATTTTTAGAACTATCAATTAGGACAGTTATCGACCCGTCATAGCAAAAAAAAAAAAAAATCGCAATACAGCTGAATAATCAGAATGTATATTGTTTGCATCTTGAATAAGGCTGGTAGACAACAATTATAAAAACTCAGCCACCATTGCAAAGATCTTAGAAAATCCGAAACTTTATTAATATATTAGCAGGAAGAAAGGTTAAGGTAACAGCAAAGGAAACAGGATGTTATCTCAAAGCATGTCATGTGAGGGTTTTGGGTAGGAATCTGGGAAACATTGAAGGAAGTCAATTATTAATGATGAATGAGCTAGGGTTAGAGTGATCTTATAGGATATAGGGAATGAGAATAATGGAGGAGTAGCTTGGAAAGTTGAGATCATCAGTTTAGACAGGTTGGCTATACCTATATATACGTATGGCCTAACTATCCAAACTGCTCAATTATGATATGACAATGATAATAATAATAATAATAATAATACAACATTGGATTATTTCCACAAGATATCAACTGCCTCTGTTTGGGAAGGGGGGGGGGGGAAGAAGAGAGATAGAGATCAAAATTTAATATTAATTAGAAAAAGGGAAGAAAAGAAAAACTGATTAGTTGGGGAGTGGAGTGGTGAAAAAATGATGTCACAAAAGGGGACAAAGGTTAACCTTTTTTCACAGAAATGTAGGAGAGATCATTGTATAGTAGTAAAGACTAGAGAGAGGGTAAAGAAAAACCAGAAAGGCCAACAGGGAGAGCTTTCATCATTGATGATAAAAAGGAAGTAAAGGTAGGGAATCTTCTCTGCAGCAAATGTAACTTCCCTTTTTCACCACATTTTGATTCAATAAAAATCAGAAATACTTAATGTTAAAAAAAAAAAGAAGATGATTTACATGAATTTTTCTTATAAACTAGCGTCACACAAATTCCGGCTACTCTCTCCATGTCCATGCATGGCAAAAAATCTGTTGCAGTCTATATGAGTAAAAAATAAAATCTCCAAATTCCATCACACTACTCAATAAAATAAAAAGATTGATAAAGGATATAAAACCCACCTTGTAATTCAGCATCAGAAACCTTTTCTCTGAGGAAGGCTGCAAGAATCATGTACCATAATTCAGAGAAAAAGAAAGGGAATTGCAATTAAAATAAAACTGGTGATAATTTTGAGAGCTTAAAGCTTACCATGCTCTGTATGCAGACAAAAGAGAAATAGACTTTTTTTGTTGCTGCAGAAATCTTGGTCTTCAATGTAGAAACGAGGAAAACAAGTCCTGAATTGCCATCATGTTCTCCCACAGCTTTCTTGAGCTCCCTTGGTGCACTATATATAGCTCTATATATTATGTTGCTTTTGCCTTTTTTTTTTTTTTTTTTGAGATGGAGTAAGAACACAAAGAAAGTTCAAGAAAGCTGTGGAAAAGCATGACCAGGACTTTTTAAACAAAAAACCATCAACCATTCCACTGCAAATTGCTTGACTTCAGATCCCAAAAAAAAACTCTCAAATTATCAAGGAAAACCTTTTACCTGCCCTAAAAACACAGAGTAGTGAAGGAAGAAAATAGACAGAAGAAGAAGAAGCCTGGCCATCCAAAGTTTGATGGACCACTCTACCAATATATAATTTGACTACCAAGCTTTATAGAGAAAGAAAAAGGAGGAAGAGAAGCCTGACGAGGACGGGATGAAAGGAAAGGGGGGTAGGGTTTATTTTCCCTAACAAAGCGGCATTTTACTCACAACAAAAAGAACGCCTTACTGGTGAGTGCGCAGTGGGTTACATAACACAGCCAGATTAGATTAGGTAGGTAAAGGAAAACAAAAATTAAACTAAAAAAACCAAATTTGAAAAAATTATGGAGAAAAAAAAGAATAATCACTAATAAACAAGAAGAAAAAGTAAAGGAAACCCAGAATTAAAGTAATAGAATTAAAAAGAAGGAAAAATCCACACACCCAAACCCATCCCCATCACATGCATCCATGTGATTTTGAATTTTTTTTTTAATAGTAGACTAAAGGTATGGGTTGTTTATGGTCCCCAATCTTTATGTTTCTTTTTTAACCCAACCCTGTATATAATATATTGGTGATCATCAATCATAATTTGTAAAATGTTTTTTTTTTTTTTTTGAGATTGTTCTAGAAAATAACTGACATAATTAATTATTAATTTTTGGTTGTGCAACTGTGGCAAGAAATATTTTATTTGAGGATGAAATTAAGGAAGAAAAAAGTTGAAAAAATAGAGTAAAAACAAATATGAGTTTTTTTTGTTTTTATCTTGTACCTTTTAACTTGGAGACATTTTTAAAAATTAGCTGCAACGATGTGACTCCCTTTGACAAACTTTGTTGTTGATGGGATGGCTGGCCCCTGGAAAATGATAAGCGTGAGTGAGCATTTTGAAAGGCATGAAAGAGAAAATTATTAGCAAAAAAATAGTAGTATTTTTTTTTTTTACATTAATATTGTAACAGGATTAAAAATTTTCATATATTTTATTTAAATTTTTTATGAATATTTGGTGAAAGATTAAAAGGTAAAAGAAATTTGAGATTTGATAAAATTGAGAATTAAATTTAACTTTATTTTTTTGTAATACACTTAGAGATGTTTTCAAACTTTATTTGAATTTAATTTTTTAAAACAATCTTAAAATTATATTTTTTATATTAATTTGGTGTATTTAGAACTTTAACATTACAGCAATTAATGAATTTAAAGATATTTTTTTAAAAATTCAAAACTCTTACTTATTGATCCAAACTCCATTAATTTTAAGTTTTATTTCAAAAATATAAAATAAAAACTTCTTTCTTTCATTTGTGAAAGAAAAAAATTTTCTGATCTTAAAATAATAAATCAACATTTCTTTTATCAAGATAACAATTTTTTACGTTAGAAATAAAAGTAATAATCGAAGTATATGTCTAAATATATACATAAAATTTTAATAAAAAATATTTTATACGGTATTGATAAAGTATTTAAACTCCAACAAAAGTGTACGAAACAAACATACAAGACCCATGCAGCCAAGTTGTTTGTAAGCATGGACCGTATATATGACATGAAGTTCATGAATTAGATCGATAAATTTAACAATCTCAACACACACGTGACATAATTATATATAATTATATATATCCAATGTTTTAAAACTTACAACTTTTTGCTAAAAATTTAGAATTTAATTTAAATATGTGATATTTAGTATTAAATTTAGAGTTCAAATTTTAATATTTATAATTTTTTATTTTTAAAATTATGATTTTCAAAATAAATTTATTTTTTTATGAATTATTATTTAAATGTTATCAATGTAAATTTTTAATTTTATAAAAGAGATTAATAATTTGATACATATTTTATTTTTAATTCATTTTTAAATGTATCTAAAAGAATAAATATAAAAAATATATGTCTTCCTATTAACCCACATAAAATAAAAAAAATTTATTGACAGGATGAAATAATTTTTTATTTTAAACAGAAAAATATCATGTAATATAACATAATATATATAATTTTGGACAAAGATAATATAAGATATTAAGATCACATAATCATCCATGCCGTGATGTTAGTATATGTAATTGCATGTGGCGGTGGGAGTGGACCCTTTGGCGATGGATGTTGTTTGGGCTGTGGGCCAAGCCCTTTTTTATTTAGGGAGGTGGGGTGTATGAAAAATGAAAATTGAGAGAAAGACCAGCTACAGTCTAGTCCACATCATCAGTCAGTCATGGCCACCTGCGGCTGTAATGATCCATCAGTTTCTTCTTTGATATTTCGGTTTTTGTTTTTGTTTGGTATTTTGGAAGAGGTTATTAGTACGTCGCAAGTGGGCTGCCGTGTTGGAATGGATGGAAGGAAAGGAGAGTTATAAGCTCATTACTATTGGTACGTTACTCACATCATATGACCCTTTATCGTCACTCGCCTGATCATCTCACCTGCATCAATCACTAACGCTATGATTGAATATATATTAATAAAAAATAATATTTTTAAAGTACATATCTTATTTAAACAATTAAAATTAATAAAAAAACAAATAAAAAAATTTTAACAATTATGAATAAATAGTAAAAAAATTTTCATTATAATATTTTTTTCAATTACAACTTTTTTTTTATAAAATAACATATAATATATAAATATATTTTTATACTATCTAGTTTATATAAATAAAATTTTTGAATAAAATTAAACATATTTAATACGATAAAATGTATTAATTAGTTATTAATTTATTCTTAATTTTATATTTAATTAAACTTTTTTGACAAAAATTTAGCTTATTTTATTGTTAAAATTTAAAAATTTAAAAAATATTTATAAACTATATTATTATATAAAATACTCATACAAAAATTATTTTTGTAAAAAATATCAATTATATAATCAAATCTAATATCATGATAAAAATATAGATATAATTTATAAATATAAAATTTTTCAATTTTCTTTTCTTTAGTTTTTCCCTCAAATTAAAATATTAAAAAAATAAAGATTAAAAAGAAACCAAAGGTTATTGATTTTCATTTTTCCAAACAAATGAAAGGTTTTTCTATTTCCATTGCTTTCCTTCATTTTCCTTTCATTTTTTTCTCTCTTGGCCTCTCTTCAATCCAAACATATTGTAACTGTTATATTTTTTCTTTTTTTTTTTATAAAAAAATAACATTCAAATAAAAAATATATATCATTTGAATTAAAAATTAAATATTTTATAAATAAATCATATATAATTATTAATAAATTTAATCTAAATTAATATCTTATTTTATAAAATTTACGAATAAACACATGAGAGATTAATGTAAAAAAATAAATATATTTCAAACTCAAAAATCGAACCAATGTTAAAATATGTGACAAATTTAAGAGTAATTGATGTTTTAAAATGAAAGTTGGAAATTATTAAAAAAAAAAAAGAAATTTTGGAAATCATACAAAAATAAAAGTTTGAATATAAAATCTTTACTCAAATTCTCACCCACTCCCAACTATGCCAATGAAATGCCTAAAATAGGATTGGCAATCTAACCCATTTTTGACAGGCTTCCACTCAATTCGACCTCTTAGTCAATTTTTTTTTTAAATCAGGTTTTGAGTCGGGTCAGATAACAGTAAAAAAAAGTCGAGATCAAATTTTAGATAAATTCAATCCAACTCAACCTGATAGATATAAAAATTTTATTTTTAATTATTTATTTAATTTTATATATTTATATATTTATTTAATTTTATATTTGTATTAAAAAATAATATTTTTTAATTTTGGATGAGATCGAATTTAAATACGAAAAAAAAATTTTAAACCAAATCAAATTCAGATATTATATGTATAATATTGAATCGGATTCAAAACAAATAAAAATCTATCTTAACTCGACCTTTTGTCATCCCCCACCCCAAAGCTTTCTTGGACTGTGATGGAGTCTTGTATTTAAGTTTGGCATAAAGTGAATACAATAAAGAGACAAGTTATAAGTCTTTTAGCACCTCATCTATATAAATAATTAATTTCCAACTATCATGTGCTCACCAATCTTAAGGATCAGGGTGCTTTCTATTAGCTAATACAACTATTATGTTTGACAACCTAAATCGAGTGAAGGCCAATAATGCAAGATTTTTTTTTCTTTTGTTTTGAAAGGCAGCTTGTATTGATGATTTAAGAAATCAGTTCTATTAAAAAAAAAAAGAAAAGAAACTGAGAATAAAATATACATTCAATAAATTTAAAATTTTTTATTTTTTATTTTAAAATTATAATCTAATTTGTATATAAAAAAAAAAAAATCTTATACAATATCACTATCCCGACTAACCCCGCATATAAATTACATGAGAACTGCTAGATTTTTTTTTTTTTTAAATAAATCTGCTACAATATGTTTCGTTTACAATCACCGAAGATTATGACTTTTTTTATACATGAGGAAGTTTAAACAATGAGATGTAGTTCGAATCTTGAAATCGCTATCTCCTATCACTATGGCTAATAATCATTAGACCAACTCTTGATTATTACATAAAGCTAAAATTTCAACACGTCAACATTTTGATTTGACGAAGTTACTACCATTAGGCTTATTCATGAATCTTAACACAATGATGAAACCATTGTATTTGTACTATAAAAATTTATGATTTTTTATAATTAAACAGATGCTCATTTAGTAATTTAATTAGGTGTTTTATCTTAATATTTCAAACGTGTTACTAACATGATATTAATGGTTTATATTATAATTTTTTTATAATTAAGATACTATTATGATTAGGAAAACAATCAAAATCCATGGAAGCTTTGTTTGAATGCATCTCCACAAAATATTGAATTAATAGTTTTATTGATTCAAATTCATATTTAAAAAAAAAAAATCTAAAGAGATACCGACTGTTTTTTTCCCCTTCTCTAGTGCAAGATAGAGAGTCCCTCGATGACAAGTCGTTTAGACAATTCCAAACCTGCGTCTTTGACAGTGTCAACGTCGTCTAAGGACCAGCATTGTAGTAGCCCATCGTGAAACCACCCGATTACTGGGCCTGTCTTTAATAGCTTTAACCCTCTACTTCTCCAATCACTGGGTAATTCAATACGGAAAACAAAATAAATAAATAAATAAGTAAACAAAGTTTCATTAAAGAAACTGAATGAATTTATTTCCAACAACATTTCAATGAAACTGAAATTATACTGATATTATCTCTCATTCTTTCATACAAATTAAACTGAAATTTGAACTTGTTATATCTCAAGCGATAAAAAAATATATTAATAATTATTTCTCATTACAGATCCTGATTTTAGAATTTAGAAAAAAAAAAAACAATTTTAGAATTAATTAATAAAATTAAAAAAAAAAAACTAAAGTATTGTAACTTTGTTGATTGATGATAAAAGAAGGGAGTCCAGAAGGGATGGGAATCGATCACGTGAGCATACAGTGAAATGTGCAGCTTTAACAGCGGTAGCATTGCATGCTAGCTATGGCTATCCATCGGCACAATTTTAGACTTTTCCATTACGTATAGGCCCGATTCTAGATCTCTGGTCTCTCTCACCGCTTATTCCAAATGCAAAAAATCAGACCACAATATGCTCATTTTTACGATCACCACTTTCACTCTCGATTTTCATCTGTTTCCAATGATTAAAACTCACTATTTTCTTACATTTATTATAAGTTAAAACATGCATATCTATACTATTGATAATTAATAAAAGAGTTGACTGAAGTTTACCGATTCAGTTGAAAAAACAACATAAAATTCAAATTAAATCATAAAAATTATATTAAATAAAGAATTTGAATGCTATTTAATTTAAGAATTTAAATATCTTTTAATTAATTTTGTTTGTTAAATTATCCTTTATTCAATTAAAAAAAAGTATTCAATATTTTTATGGTAACATTTTTTACAAAAAAAAAATGTAATTTGAAAATAATAAAAAATTTATAAGGATTTAAATTTGAATTCAAATATATTGAATATCTCTTCTAAAAATAACTGCACAAATTGATTATATTAAACTTTAGGTCCACATAACTTCTTTTATCACTTTCTTTTTCACAAAATTTTTTCTTTTATCCACATAATGGGTGTGTCATAATCTAAGTATACTGAAAAACAAATATATTTTTCATGATTTTTTCGAAGTTAAGTTGTGTTTTCAATTATACTCATGAAATTAAGCAACTTTTCAAAACGTTGGAGTACTGGTTAATTTTAGAAGGTTGATTTATTTATTGATAAATTATTTTTTTTTCTTTTTTCATGGTACTGATAGCATCAGTTTTGCATTTGTTAAAAAGAAAAAAGAACAAAGAGAAAAAAACCTCCTGACGTAGTACTGTTAGGCACTTCTAAGATCAATCATAAGAGACATTGACAACTATTTGGAAGTCTAAACCAAGTGGGTACGTACGTAGTGTTCAGACTTCAGAACATGCACGTGGATTTCAGCATGCATTAGATTAATCTTTGTCAACTGTTTGAAAAAAAAAGAAAATGGTCTGCACCTTCGCAAAGTTCTGAAATTTGCAGGTTGAACAAAGTTTATATTATTAGGCCCTTTTTTTTTCTCGGATTCTCATTAAAGAAGGAACCAATAAGCTAGATAGCGCTTATGATAAATGACTCAGAAAATGTACCCCTCGCCATGCCATGTCTCTATTATCAAACTGTTCTTCACTGCCATTTCGGGTCATTGAAATGTACTATTCGATCGCTTCCATTCCATGCTTACCAAAAATGGGACCATACTCATCTACCGTGGAACTTAATGGATTCCTCACGGACTTCTTTAGGATGAAAGTGGAAGTTCCTCATGAATTAGTTCGAATTCGGCATTGGTAAAAGGTTAAATTCTCTTTTGATTTTGATCTTTTTAAAAGCATTTCATAATAAAATTTTGAATTTATCAAATTGATATAGGAAATACACTATTAAGATTGTTCAAGTAGTGAAGTATGTTCGAATAAATTAAATCTGAAAATACATGAGATCATCTTATATATATATATATATAAATTTCTGCTTGAGAAAAAAGGTATATATATTCTTTTAATTTTTTTCTTTTTTGGCTTCATACAAAATGTATTCATTATGTTATGCTTGTACAATAGTGTAAATATTCGAAGATTTTTTTTTTAAAATCCTTGCCAATATCATAAAAAAAATAATTTGGATATACGGGCAAATAATAATTGAGTGCTTTAGTATGCATATGATATATGTTTTTGCTTCTTAAAAGAAAAAAGAACATTTTTCAGGAGATTAACTTGAAATTCCATTTTCACCTTAGAATAGTTAGATTTATTGTGAAAGATTTAGATAAAATTCGTGAAGTTTTCAATTAAAAATGATTCAACTAACCAAATGTTTGTTGGATTTGAGTGAATGTTGAAAACGGGTCATAAATTTAAGTTTTTTTTTTTTTTTTTACTTTTTTCATATATTTATAAAATTAAAATTATTATATTCATGTTCATTATATATACCGCACATGAATACTTAAAAAAATTGAAGAAACATAGAACCCAACAACTTGAAATGAAATTTTAAAAAAAATAAAAAAGGAAGAGGTGGAATTTTATATTGGTAGATGGTGACTGTAAATCCATCCACCCAAGCGTGTGGCAGCAGTCAGAGAACAGATAGAGGAATAAGACAAAAAATAATTCAATAATAGTAGAGGGGTTAGAGTTTCTGTTATCATTTTTTAAATATTGTTATAATTGAAAGGGTCACAGATCTCATCACATGATCATCATCATCGTGATCGAGCTAGCCAGTGAGGCATCTAATCATCCGGATCTGATAATGTTGTACGGATCACCCAAATGTACCTTTTCTTTTTCTTCTTCTTCCGGCTCTCTTCATTGTTGCTCATTTTCATCTCTTTTTATCTGTACTTTCAAAAACCAACTAAAATATATAAAATATATATAGTTCCCACTAGCCAAATATTGGCATGGTAATAAGAATTGACATCATAATTAAAAATACAGTTTAAAATATTAGAATAATAGTCTTGGATCCGTAGTTTCAATAATTATAATTTAATTTTTAATAATTTTAAATATATATTTATAAAATCAAATGCTCGTCAATTAGTTAACTATAGATATATTTTAGTTAATATTCGTACAGTAGATATACCAAGCTATCAATGCAAACTTCAAGATATTATTTCAGCGATGGATGAACAAAAGTAAAAAAAAAAGAAATAAATCCTAAATCCCATGAATTTAAAATTTTGGTAAATCAATTTCACAATACTTTTCTACTTCTTTTTTAAAATGCCTAATAGTTATTTTACATCTTCTATGCAAAAGTGTTTAATTTTTATAGTGACAATAGTTCAAAAATTACTATTAGTGTATGAAATATATATTTTTTAACTTTTTTTTATTAATTTGATGTTGCGTAATTTCTAATGTCAAAAAAAAAAAAAAAACAAGTCATGAAAAATAATTTTTAAAAAAGAAAAGATGAACTATTTTTAATTTAAATTTGAGAGATGCAGGACAAAGCATAAATGGGACCATTTTAATGCATTGTTAATAAGAGGGGAAGGGGGCATGTGAAACTAAAGCAGGAGAGAGAATAAAGGCGTACCTTCAAACGGGACGGAACTTCGAAAGAGATAGCAAAGCTTGTCTTCATCCATTTTGTGGGTCACTATCCTGTCATTTAACAGCCTGTTTCATTTCTTACAAAAAAAACATGGGCCTCTCCCTCTTCTTCAATTCATGTTGGATCTTTTTCAAAATTAAAAAATAAATATAAACATGGCCCACTATCAACAGTGCTCTTGCAAAACGGGCCCAATCCTCAATTATGAATTGTTAATGCATCATGCATCCAGCTCTTCTATGATTTCTTTTCTTTTCCTTTCCCTCTTAAATTCCGTTGAGATTTATCTTTTATTATTCAACATTTATTTTGTTGAGGTTCCAAAATATTCTCTTTTTTTTTTTTTTTGCTCCTAGACAAAACGGAGCACCACATGCAATTTTGTCGAAAGTTTTAAAATTTCATGATTGGATTCTAGTTCAGATTTCGAAAAATTCTTCTATTTCTCTATGCCTATAATGTGAGAGAGGAAAGCATTCTTTTTGCATAAATTAAACTTCAAATTATTTGATATGATGTCATTAGCATTTTATTTTTTAATTTTACAAGTGGGATTAATTAAATGATACATACTCTATTTTTTGAATTAAAATTTTAAAACATATTCCAATGCTCAAGTTAATAATTATATAAGCAAAAAGTTGATAAAAAGAAAGAGGATTGCTATGTGAGGTGAGTGATCATGTCTTCTCAACTTTTTACCTTGTACCTTTTATATATGGAAACATAATTGCATAATTTGAGTAATGTGTAAAGCAAGCCTCTTTTTTTTTTTTTTTTTTTTTTTAACCTATGGATAAAGTTTGACTGGCACAATTAACATATAAATGACATTCCTTCAAATTTATCTAAGACTTTTCTCTCTTTATAAGCCTCATGAATTGAGCCTTTAGCTTGTAAGAATATTGGACCTAACAAAAATTTCGTCACCTAAGTAGTATGAAATTTGAAAAAAAAAAAAAAAATTGACATCAAAATTAAAAACCATACCCACCTATCAAGTACAGTAAGCGATATGGAGCAACATTCAACTTTGTCCAAATTGGATGGTTTGCAATATCCAAATTTACAACTTCGAAACTTTGAGTGTGATGGGCCATCAGGGCTTTCAACTAAAGGGCCACAAGTTTTTTTTTCTACGAGGCTTACTCTGCCTGGGCTGAAATCTTTGACTACTAATTTGGAGCTTCTTAGGCTTCTGTATCTCTGGTCCTCCATCACTCTTCAAAAATGTCCTAAGCTTTCTAATAATAAGGCCAAATGTAAAAGCAAGCTAAACAGTGAAGGTTTTTAAGTCAAACAAAGCAATGTTCACACTGATGGTCCTATCACTTGGAAGCCTATGCAAAATCCAAAAATAGACTACACTTGATTGACATTTTGTCAGCCTACGAAAAAAAAACCATAAAAATGAAAAAGAATGAATCATTTTTGTTTGATCCAAAGTAAAATGCTCATGTCTATTAACAGTAAATGAAATGGGTCACATGTTTAACAGTAGTTTTTTTTTTTGGCCCTATTTTTGTTGTTTATTTTATTAATTACACAAAAAAAAGTTCACAATTTTGAATTGGGCTTTCTCAATGCGATTAAGCTTGGGTTAGGACTTTTGAAGAAGAAAGCTTTGTGGAGGCCCAAACTGCTCAACATCAACCAAGAGCCACATTAATGTATTAATTGTCAACGCAAAAACGTTGCTTTTCTTGGCTTTTTTTTTTTTAGTTTACTTTTGGCCAAGAAGTTTCCATCACATTGTGCTCTAGCCACCTAGAAATTAAAGCTTAAAGCATGTTAGCATCCTTGAAATGCTTTTCAATTTCGTTCTTCCTCTCCATTGAGTTTCTTCCCTTAGATTACAGGGAAAAAACGAGGGACAAAAAAAAGGGCAGATTGTGGTACATATATGGACAACTAGACTTGTAAAGTACATACAAACACAATCATTTAAATTCACATTAAATTTCGGTTTTGTTTGTCTATTGATGTTGACACGTTTCATATAATCATTAATTTCATGCTATACTTCAACGACAAAAGATGGGAGCAATCACTTTCTTCCATTTTCAAAGTAAATTCACATATTGAAATTTTCTCTTCCAACCCTTAACCACTAAATATTTAAGAATGAAAAGACATCTAGCTAGTGATTAAAACACATTTAAAAGCTTTGGGGTGAAGTTTACAGCTTCATTGATGCACATTATGATACTTGACGAGAAGAAAATTATTGATAGCAAAAGGCATTCATCGTATGGATCATATTATTTTATTTGTTCGAATGGAATTTATCACACTTACTTTAATAAAAAAATTATCATTTTCATTGATGGTAAAATTTTTAAATTTCACTTTCAAAATTAAAAATTACATTATCAATTGTCATGTAAAACGGATATTTATTTAAAATTATTATAATATTATATTATAACATATATAGAAACTTGATAAGTTTTGTTTAGGTAAATGCTTAAGTGAATAATTTATATTATTTACATGTAAGATGGTTTTAAATAATTTTATTCAATCAATTATTCAAAATTTAAAAATTTTAAAGTTTCAAATTTTATATTTATCCAAGTTTTTCAAAATATATAAGTTTTATCTTAATTTAAATTTGAAAAAACATATCTCTATCTCACTCTTACTCGTTTATATGAAATACAAAATTCAAATAGTTTTTAAAGATTAAATCCTAAATCTTAGGAATCATAAAAAATCATACATTGTCTAAATCAATATTCACATTTACTATTATTTACTAATTTTTTTGCCTTTATTTTTCTATAATTTAAAATAAAAGATAAAAATATTTTATCTTAATTTTAAATTACACACATATCTAAATTTAAAGTTATACTAATATCTTTTATCTTAATTTAAAATTAAATTTGAACAAGCTACATTTTAAAATTTTATAATTAAATAATTATTAATATATATTTATAATTTTTTTCACAATCAATATTTTTTTTTTTAGAAAAGATAGAGTAATAAAATATTTGTCACAAAAATTTGGCATAATAAAATTTCAAAATCAAATATGAAAAAATCTTTCATGATATATCATATATGTGAATCTTAGTTTTCGTACTAAAATAATATATATTTTAAAGAGTGTATATAATTGTAAATAAGAGATTAACTTTTTCATTGAGATTTGTATGTAATTTTACTTTTATAATTCAAAGCTTTCATGATACTTATTTGGGTTTTTTTTATAATAATTTATATGTAGACTGTTTTTGTAATTTTAAATTACAAATTATGAATGATTACAAATATTTTTATTTATCTATATATATAATATAAAAATTAAATTTAAATTATAAAAAATATAATAAAAAGTTTCATCCATGGCACAGGCAAAAAAAAACTGGATTACAAATAAAAGATAAGGCGAGAGAGACAAAGAATCTTAATCTAATTCATTGTAAAGCCATGGGCACTTATTATCCAAAAAAAGCAAGGCAAGGCATCCGATGCTGCAAGAGCCAATTGCCGCTATGTTCGAAAAGTCAACAGTTTTTGGTTACGTACAATGCATAATATTATAGCTAGGGAAATGTTTCATTATCAAAAACAAAATAAATTAATTTAATAATTACCCAAACTTAAAAAAAAAAAAAAAGAAGACACAATCAAAGCAAAATTAAGTGGCCCTAAATGATAGAATTGTCAACTTTGTGGTTTTCTTTAATATAAACCTTCTTTTCTTGGTAGTTACTTGTAATTGTCGTTGCATCGAAGTTTGATGCGGTAGTCATCGGAGATTCCCACCTTGTGAGGGAAAGCATAAATTGAGGAGTTTTTGCTTTGCAAAAGACAAATGAAGGGAAAAATCTAGGATCCATTTCTCTTCTTTTCTTGTTATTTCGAACTCCTCACAAAGTCATTTATAATAATTTGTTACACAAAACCAAGAAACGAGAAAAACGGGTTTAAGTAAATGGCTATACAAAATTTTAAGTTTAATTCAATTATTTAATATAATTATTTTTTTAAAAAATAATATTTTATAAATTTAAAATTCAAATCTTGTCATAATATCGCCATCAATGTTTGATATGGGGTTGCTAAAGACTATTATACGTCATTTTTTATGCCCTTTTATAAATGGATTAATCACTTAGCCAAGCATAGATAGATTCTCCTTATAAACTAAGGTATTTATGGAAACTTTCAAATTTTGAAAAATAAAAAAAATTGAAAGAATTTTTTTCGTTGGACATCCTTAAAAAATGAAAATAAAAAAATTTAAAGGAAAATTTTTTACTCTATACCCAATATTTTATTATCAATACTTTTTTTATCGACAAAATTGATTAATTCGTTGACAAAATTGATAAATCTATCGTTATAGCCAAAATAATTAATAATATCCTAAAAATATAAGCCATATAAAAAATATTGACAAGACAATTAATAAGTTAACGATCTCATTAACATTTTTAATGATCAAAAATTGATAAAGTTTATTATTGAATTAAAATTATCAAATCAAAATAATATGATAATTAAATTTATATGAATCATAATATATTAATTAAAATTTAAATTTTGACAAAATATAAAAACCTCTAAAAAAATTTGACCTTTCTATAATTGTTTTTGAAAAATAATATTTTGTAAATCTGAAATTTAAAAATCTTGTATATTTGATATGGTGGGTTGTCAAAGACTATTACACTTCATTTTCTGTTCCCTCTTAAGTGGATTAATCACTTAGTCAAGACAATTAATAAGATCTTAAAAATATATCTTGCTGATTACAATTTGAAATTTTATGCTCAAAATTTGGAATGAAAATAATGAATTTATGAGATAAAAAAGCATTGTACAATTTTATTTTATTTTTTTAAAATGGTATGACCGAATGTAAGATATTACATTTAAAATTTAATTATAACATATTTTAAGCTGTATTTTAAAGTAAATTATTTTAATAAAAAGGTTACTAATTTATAATCATAGTCAAGTATCTTTCCTTGTAGAGCAATTGTTCTTGTTTAATCATGGATATGCAAATTCTATTAAACAAATTCCTGAATTCTATATAAAAAGAATTTGCTCATAAGAAATTTGTTTAAACAAATACAACATTGACAAGTGTCTTCCAGGGATTTGTTTAATAACTTTGTCACGGCCATGTCTTTTTCTTTACAGTTATTACGGTTCACGCGGTTTTGTGGGATCGACTGTACACCAAACTCCGCGTGTTCTCGATTCTCGTCTCTTTTTTTCTATCCCCAAAAAATGGATCTGTTTTATTTACAACAGCCTCAGATAAATTGAAACAAACTCTTTTTTCTTCTTTGTAGCAGCCGTGCCGTTTTATCTTCTTCTTCTTGGTTCTGTTTTATTGACAAGAAATATGGTGACATCCATACTGTTACTAGCAGTTCTTTTTGTTGCTGGATTTATTAATTTTTACTTGTTTTTTTCTCCCAAGAAGTTTTATGCATGGATTCAATCTTTCTTCCCTAAGTACGGGTCTTCATCATCAGTTCATGTGTCGTCCTCTAAGACTACTACTTCTCATGCGATTTCAGTCAAGGAAAGAAGTGATTCAAACAAGGTAGAGCTGAAAAGGGTTTTTGCCACCTTTGACAAGAATGGTGATGGGTTCATAACAAAGAACGAACTGAGGGAATCACTAAAAAATATCAGGCTGTTCATGACAGATAAAGAGGTTGAAGAAATGGTAGTGAAAGTGGATGCTAATGGAGATGGGTTGATCGATTTCGATGAGTTTTGCATCTTATGTCAGGCCATGGATGGCCATGATCAGGAAGGTGTGAGAAGAGGACAAGATGGGAATGGAGTTGGTGATGGAGAAGGGGAATTGAAGGAGGCTTTCGATGTGTTTGACAAAGATAAAGATGGGTTGATTTCAGTTGAGGAATTAGGTTCTGTGCTGTGTTCTTTGGGGTTGAAAGAAGGGAAGAAGACGGAAGATTGCAAAGCAATGATCAGGGAAGTTGACCTGGATGGAGATGGAATGGTTAATTTCGATGAATTTAAGAGGATGATGATGAAAAGTGGAGGAGGACTAGTTTCAGTATCAGCTTTCTAAACTCCTCTGTTTAACTCCTCTAACTCACAATTTATGCAGACACAACGACCGTAAACTCCTCGGGTAAGAGGCGTGCTTAATCATTTATCTCTAGCCTGCTCTCACCAAACAACAGCTCTAATCCATTTCAACCTCACCTGGTGGACAACTAGATCTACCTGTGTTTTCAGTATGTTGGATTTGCTTCTTTCATTTAATCCTTTTGAACTGTTTTTCACACATTACTTACTACAATCTTTTAAAGCTTTCACCAGCAACCCTTAAATCACCATCTGATATTTGTAACCGTACGTTGAATATAACTTTTGCACTAGTTGTCTTCGAGTCTTTAATTTAGTGGTTAAAGGCACTTAAAGAAATATCAAGGGTTTGGATTCGAACCAAACCTTCCCTTTCTCCTTTCTTGTATTAGAGCTTTGAGCTCCTCACGTAACTAAAAAAAACTTTTGTACTAGTTCGGCTTTTAGCTCTTAGTTCTGTCTGTAATTTAACGTACTGTACATATTTTTGAACTTTGCTGTGCACATAGCGAAATCCATATTTATAAAGGCCATCAAACATCTGAGGTGCGAATTAGATGTTTCTTTAATTTGGGTGTAAACTGTAAACGTCTATTGTAAATGAATCTCGAAATATGTCTCCCCATTTGTTTCAGTTGTTTCCAGATGTGTTATCTTCATAATGCCATAATATGGAAAGTTCGACCAATGGACCGGACATAACCCTGTCTGAGCTCGGTGGCATCGGAAAAATTTGTAGTCAGTGGGAATACCCAGGGCAAAGAATCGCGGAAGAAAGAATTTATTCGTGAAGAAAGCAAAGCAGCATTAGTGGGTGGGGCGAATTAGGACCTCGCATATCTGGAAAGACAAGTCTGAGCAAGGGTCGGTAATGGGCCAGGGACGGATTTTTGCTTGTTTCGAATTCAACTTGATTTTATAACTATAAAATATATCGAAATTATTTTTATTTTTTATATTCAAATTCATCTAAAATTAATAAAACATTATTTTTTAAAATATAAATATATCATTATATATAAATAAAAAATTTTAAAAATAATTTTTAATATAATATAAAATCAAATCAAATTTATTTAAAATTTAAATCTGAATTAATTCGATCCAAAATTTAATTTTAAAAAAATAAAAATCAATCATACGAAATCAGATTAAAACCTATCAGATACGGATCAGGCTGCCAACCCGAGCCACACAAGTCATTTATCATTATATTGCCAGTGTGATGTCGAGTCAAAGCAACATAGAGGCATCTGAGGGCAAGCTAGAAGCAAAGTTACTTTTCTTTTATTCCCTTCTTTTTAACGGCAATAGGAAAACTTACTTTCCAAGCAATTGCAGCGTGGCCACGAGTATAAAATGCAGACTTCTAAGATCTATCTTCTTCTATAGCATAATGTGGATAAAAGGTTCATTTCGGTGGATACAAAGCCTACCAACATTTTTAACTATCAAATATCCACTTCAAGTAGATAATTGGAAAGACAAACTACCATGCATTTATTTCTTTAAAAAATCGAGGCATATCTTTTGACCGCAGCCTACCCGTCCGTAAAAAAGAGAAAAAAGAGTATACACCACCTGGTGGCAGCAAAGCAATTGAAGCAGTTTGTTAAAGAGGCTAAAGCTCGTTAGCAGCACTTTTGCCAGGATTCAAGCATAAAGTTGCACACAAGTCATCTGAAAAGCCAAATACTAGAAAACATCAGGGTTGAAACGGCCAGGGATAGAGCTACTTTGCAGAGCTTGCTTCAAGGGCATTGTTAATGCATAGTTGTTTACCTGTTAGGACATCAAATGATCCAACAATTTTCATCAGAAAATCAAAAGCAGTGCACTTAATCGTGTAGCAACAAAATAAGATCGGAGTAGTCACATTGATTATATATGCATATGAGCGGACCGTGCATGTGTTCCCGTGTGAATCAAAAGTTAAGTTCATGCGGCCAACCTCAAGGATTCTCAACTGCTCCTGATACTGAGACACTAGTTGCTTCAAATGCTTCAACTCCTTACTCTGATTTTCATACTCTTTCTGAAGCTCATGCTGAACAGCCACAGCTTGCGTCAGAATATTATTTTCCTGAATAAGTGCTTCCAGTTGTTCTTTCAGCACCATATTTTCCTATAACAACCAAGTAACAATTTCAGCATCCTCAAAAAAAAACCCTTTCCTTGTTTCCCTTTTGTAACCCAACAAAAAGTTTGGACGGGGCATGTAGCAGGGATCAGAGAGGAGATAGCCACTAGCAACTGTAACAACCATGATAACCAACCTGGTGAAAATTTTGGGCCACCTCTGCTCCCGCACGTGCACGAACGGACTTCTCCAAAACTTCCAGTGCTCCCGAAGCACGAGCTCTGGCATCATCAATGTTAGAAGCATTCAACATTTCTCTAACAAAAAGTTCCACCCAATCCGAACCATCCATTGAGAAAACTTCTGGGGCTGTCTGTTCTTTTGCTGGAACATCTCCATTGGCTGCTACACCTGCAATAGAACAATGCTCTTCCCGCTAACCAACAATTGATGCCAAATGACTAAATGGTAATTCGGGAAAATATATGTAAGTTATAATTCTAGTTTCAAATGCATCTCATCCATGGAAACTATTAGGCTAGCCAAGTAACGTAAAAGGTGCAAGCAAGAACATAAACTGTATCATTAATAGCAGTATTCACAGATCAAATTTGCTAAGAAAGCATGGTATATTTGTGTCAGTTACTGGTTTCCGCAACTTGTTTTGTTGATTTTGTGAAAACGAAAGGGGCATGGGAGGGACATCCACTGATAACCAACCCCAGGCCTTGGAGTTTCTTTGTGAATTACACATTATACATTACCTAGCAGCACTGTCATCATCATGGACACCACCAAAAGCAAACCACTCATTTAAAGTTACGTTAAAATTTACATAAAAGAACAAAATTTCGGCTCCATTTGTCTTGGGAAAATTATTTCTGGAGAATTATTTTTTTATTTTCATATGTTTGTTTGGTAGAAAATTGGTTGACCAACGGAAAAAGATTTATTGCTTAACCGAAAATAAGATTATTTTTTCGCAAAATTGTCATACGAATTAAAAAAAAAAAGATACTTTTCGAAAAAGAGATGTGTAAAACTATTTATCAATGCTTGTGATTAATCATTTCTCTCTAGCCTGCTCTCACCAAACAACAGCTCCGATCCATTTCAACCTCACCTGGTGGACAACTAGATCTATCTCTGTTTTGTGTATGTTGGATTTGCTTCTTTCACTTAATCCTTTTGAAGTGTTTTTCACACATTACTTACTACAACCTTTTAAAGCTTTCACCAGCAACCCTTAAATCACCATCTGATATTTGAAACCGTACGTTGAATAGTATATAACTTTTGTACTAGTTCATGTTTTAGCTTTTAGTTCTGTCTGTATTTTAATGTACTGTACATATTTTTGAACTTTGCTGTGCGCTTAGAGAAATCTATATTTAAAAAGGCCATCAACCATATGAGGTGCGAATTAGATGTTTCTTTAATTTAGGTGTAAATTGCAAAATCCTACTTGTAAATGAATCTCGAAATATGTCTCCCCATTTGTTTCAGTTGTTTCCCGATGTGTTATCTTCATAATGGCATAATATGGAAATTCGACCAATGGACCAGACATAATCATGTCTAGAGGTGGCAAAATGGGTCGACAAGGCACGATTCTATTTTTGGCACGATATAATAATGAGCCGGGCTAGTACAACACAAAAAAAAAAAAAAAAAACGAATCGTGTCATTCATGATTTTTATTAAAATAACTCTCTGTTCAGTATGGATCATAATCCAATAATGATATGGGTCATACCGTGGTAGTCCATAGGCCATCAAATAGTTTTTAAAAAAAAAATTGTTACATTAATTTTTAAAAAAGTTATGAGATTTTTCTTTTATATATATATATTATTTTAGTGACATATTATGAAAAAATTGGAGACATGATTTATATGGTTCATTTTAAAATGTTTCCATCCATGGGAAAAAAGAAAATTTTTTATTATAAATAAATAAATTTTACAAAGATTAATTAACAAAAAAATAATAAATTTTACAAGTTTTTTTCCAGTGATATAAATTATTATTTTCTTTTAATGATACAACTTTTTCTTGTAAGCGATATTCAACATCCAACCGATTCATCTTTATGGGTCTTTTGAAAAAACAAATCCATCTTAGAGTATTATGTTAAAAAATGGATAAATATTTTTAAAGAATTAATTGATCGTATATATTTGATAGCAAAATATGAGTCATGCCATGCTAAGTGTCATGAGTTAAGTTTTCTTTCAATAAAGTAATAGACCGTGCATTATTTGGATAAATGCTTCCACACAAGTCAGTCAAAGATAGCTCGATATCTAAATAAGTAACTAACAAGCCACATGTTAATCTCATAGATACACAACAATATGTTGGGGCATAATAGGTGTACACCAAAGAGACCCTTGGTACCCTCAAAAGAAAAAATTATTTTATTAATATTGAAAATAGTACAATGAGTATAAAAAGAACATTGAGTCTTCCTACCATCATTAGGGTCTATGGGGCAACCTTAAAATAAGTGGTCTAGCATGTATTTTAGTCAGTGAAGTAACTTAGCAAAATGTTAATTGCTCATCCCTTCTAAAGAGTATAAGAGATTTTATAGCTATGCTACCAAGAACCATTACAATATTTAAAATTGAGACATATTTTTCTAGCACATGAGATTTATCCTCCCTTTTAGTATCTCAATCGGTCATGGCCCTATACAAGGGTAGCTCATGACATCCTACACCCGATCATAGTTTTATATAAAGTTGACTCATAACACCCTTCCCTACTTAATCTATTGACGTCCTCATCAACTTGCTGGTCTAGAATTCTTCAATATTCTCTTGAATGCCCGAAGGTCATGTTCCCTTTCCTAACTAGTTTCTTCTAGTCTTAGGCCTCCCAATTTCACAAATATTTGTAGACTGGTTTTCGGGATACTTGGGTAACTTTATTAGCTAAAATCTCTTCCATATGACATTCTGATGGTGACTTCCTAGTGATAGCAGCCCCGATTGTTTTACTACAACTTACATTTATGAGATTTGCATGGTAGAGCTTTAAGTTGCTCACATAAATCACTAGATGCACCTTCATCCATTTTTGGTGGATCGATTTTGTAAAAGGCATTCCCCACCTTAGAGAAAGTAGTCACTGGACCCTTATACTTCTACATTAATCTATAATCTCATTTTTTTAAGAACTCGATTTGTTCCAGCACCAGTTTAACAAGGACCCAATCACCCACTTTGAACTATTATGCCCTTCAACCCTTCTCTGCTTATTTTTTCATGCGTTTCGATGTCTTCTCTAAGTATACTAGCATAATTTTTGTGTTCTGTCCCCATTCTTTACTGAGGTTAAAGCTTGCAATTTTTCTTTTGATATGGTTCTAGGGATATATGAGGCAGTTTTAGCTATTATCCCGTAACCACTTCAAAAGGACTATTGTTTGTGGAAAAACACTTGCTAAAATTAAAATAAAACTAAGCTACATCCAACAATACGGGCCAATTCTTGTAATTAACTTGAACAAAATATCTTAAGTACTCTCCTAACAACCCATTAAATTGCTCAGTTTGACAATCCATTTATGGGTAATAACTTAAAAAGATGTTAAGATGAGACTCTAAAATCTTAAAAAGTTTTTCCAAAATGAATAAGTGAATCTCGAATCCTTATCACTGATAATGGTTTGTGAAATACCCAAATACTTGATCACATGCTTAAATATTAGGCAAGCTGTATCTTTCACTATATAATACTTTTGGGTAAGAATGAATAATGGCATGCTTCAAGAAATGATCAACCACTATTAGAATGGACCTTAAATCACCCACTCTAAATAGACTTGATATGAAGTCAATGAAGATACTCTCTCAAGGTCTTATATGTATAAATAACAGTTCAAGCATGCACATTAGTCTCTTCTTTTCCATTTTGTCATGTTGGCACATAAAGCAAGTTTTAGTGTAGTCCATCACATCTTGTTGCTTATGAGACCAATAATAGCCTTGTTTCAATAAGGTCAAAGTGTGTTATCAACTAGTGTGACTCGCTCACGACATATCATGACATTTTTGCATTAGCATCTACATTAAGCTCCTTATTCTTGGCAAAAATAACTAAGAACCCTTTGTCAATAAGGCCTTATTTTTTAGGCAAAAGTATTTTTACTTCTCATTTTCTACTAACTTCACAATGGCACAAGCTTGTGGGTTTTTTTTTTAAATTTTTTTTAATTAACTTACGGATTTCTGTTATGACCTTATTATTTGACATTGGGGTAATTCTCCTGAAAGCCACCAACTTTGCCTGTCTACTTAATACATCTAGCACTTAATTGTTCTTTTAGCTATGTGCTTAAAGCAAAAATCAAACTCAGCTAGAAATTTCTACCACTTAGCTTGCTTGGCTTTGGCCTTAGTTGGGTAAAAAAATGACTGATTGTTATATTATCAATTTTTAACATAAATTAGAAACCTAACAAATAATGTCGCCATGCCTTTAGATAATGGATCACTACCGTAAGCTCTTTCTCTTGGGCTGTATACTTTCTTTCTACCTCGTTCAACTTTTAACTTTTAAACGTAATTAGGTGTCATTCTTGTAAAAGTATTCCCCCAATAGCAAAATCTGATGCATCTGTTTGAATTTTAAAAGGTTTTTCAATGTTAAGGAAAGCCAAGATAGGGTATTTCATCATGGTTTTTTTTTAAGCTCTCAAAAGCTTCTTAGTATTCAATTATCCAACATCAATTTTGCCCTTTTTTTAGTAAAACGATAAGGGTCATTATTCGACAAGAATACACTTCCACAAATTTTTTATAATAGTTGGCTAGCCCCAAAAATGAGTGAAGCTTGCTAATATTCTTTAGTGTTGCCTATTCTTTGATGGCCTTGACTTTTTCCAAATTTATTTAAATATGACCTTATTCCATAATATGGGCCAAAAAATGTATCCAGGTTTGTATAAAGGCACACTTTTCTTTTTTCACATACAACTAATTTTTTTGAAGTCTTTGAAACACAAGGCATAAGTGCTTCTAATGCTCTTTTAAGGTAGAACTATAAATTACTATTTCATTCAAGTAGATTATTACGAAGTTATCTAGGTAATCATGAAACACCTAGTTCATCAAAGTACAAAATATGGCATGGGCATTGATTAGTCCAAAAGGCATAACAAGAAACTTAAATACACCATACCACATTGCACAGATGGTCTTTAGCTCATCTCTCTTCATAATTTTGATCTAATGGTAACCAGATCTTAAATCAAGTTTGGTAAAGTATTTGGCATGGCTCAATTGGTCAAATAAGTCTGCGATAAAAGGGATCGGATACTTGTTCTTTACAGTAACTTTGTTCAAGGTCTTGTAATCCACACACAATCGTAAACTCTCATCATGTTTTTTATGAAACAACATTGGGGCCCCGAAGGGTACTTTTGATGGCCTGATGAATCCCACTTGAAATAATTCATCTAATTACTTTTTTAGTTCAACCAATTCTAGTGAAGCCTTTTGATAAAACTTTTAGCTAGGGGCTTAACTCCTAGAAAAAGTTTAATCTTATGGTTTACCAACCGTTGAGAAGGTAGAACTTTGGGCAACCACTTTGGCGTTACACTTTTAAATTCTTTCAACACCTTTTTCACCCGATCAGACACCAGTTCTATTTTTAACTCATCCTTATAGATCGACATTACTATGTTGGAAAATTCCCCATTTTCACTCATTTCTTAAACTGAAGCATTGATATTACTTTTTT